TTGGATGCCAGGATAGCTTCTCTTGTAGATGGTTTCATGTCACAGAGCTTCCAGTGCCAGCTGATTACAACTCCATTCCAAACTATTTTCTCTATACATTACATTTGCATGTATTTATTTATTTGTCAAACATATACAAGATAACAAGTATAAGTATAAACATAAACAAGAACAAAGGGAGTAAATACAGATAAATGGGGACAAAATTTTCAATTTCTAGGAACAATTTCTTTCTTTTTTCTTCCCAATTTTTCTTTTTGATTTATTAATTTGGGGCTAAAGAAGGGAAACGGTTCAATTCTGACGTGTCCCTTTTCCTCAGAAACCCATCGTTCCCATCTGAAGTTTCAATCTGTGTGAAATTGAACCAGAGGCAATTCAGCAGGAGGCAGGGAGTTGGGGAAATAAAAAAGGAGACAGGAAATGGAGAAGAAATATTGTGACAAAGGGGGAAGAATTTAAGTTAGTGGAGGCAGCCGAAACTGTTTTATTGCTTTGGCTTCTGTCACCTGTGATGACCCCCGAGAGTGGGGAATATCGACCACCTGTCACTCAAAGGCATTCAGCAGATGGCTTTGACACAGCTTGTCAAGTTTCTGATAATAGTCAGGTTAGGAGTGTTGGCAGAAGCCCAAGAGAAGGGCTACCACTGTGCCTAGAACATGGCAATATTTCAGCATCCCGGCAGTGGCGGTAAACCCTGAGAAAAAGCAAGGAAGACTTTAGGAGGGATTCTTCTCCTGACCTGAAAAAAAAGATAGCTATATATATATATATTTCCCCTCGTTTCTCAGCCCAACGATCCATGGAAAGAACACTTTCAAAATTACTGGGGTTTGGTGAAGAAAGTTTGTGCCGTTTCTCTACACAAGCCTGCTTTCTTCCAAGCTTAAAAGGGCATGAGAAAGTTGACTCCCATGAAAGCAGGAGTGTCCAACCTTGGTAATGTGTAGTGGGCTTCAGTAGGCAAGAACCAGGCCAGCATAGCTACAACAGCATTTATTGATTCAAATTGGAACTGAGGAACAGCAGGCAAATGCCTGTAATTCTCTAGGCCAGTGGTGGCTAACCTTTTTGGGCTCCTGTGCCGAAATGTACATGCCCCCCCCAGCCCCCTGTGCATGTGCGCACGATCCCCACCACCACCCCCTTACCTGCACTACTTATGTGTGTGCCTGCCAGCTGATTTTTGGCCCATTTGAGGCCTTTTTCAGCCTCCCAGAGGCTCGAGGGAAGCCTCTGCAACCTTTGGAGGCCGGAAATACAGTAAGTGATGAAACGGGCCTGTTTTTCGGCCTCCAAAGGCTGTAGAGGCTTCCTTTGAGCCTCTGGGAGGCTGAAAAAAGGCCTCAAACAGGCTGAAATTCAGCTGGCAGGCACGCACATGAGCAGTGAGGTAAGTTTGGCTGGGGCTCGCGTGCCCACACAAATGGCTCTACATTCCACCTGTGGCACGCGTACCATAGGTTCGCCATCACGGCTCTAGGCCCACGGGGCCTTAACCAGTCATAGTACTTGAAAAAGCCCGCCCAATTATGAATGTTCTAAATTTCCCTCCAACAGTTGTAGTTAACAACAGTTAGGGTCATCTAAAGGCTAGTTTCACTTTAGCAGACACAACTATATATATTCAAATTTCAATACAAAACATATGGGAACTTTCAAACTTGTGGACTTCAACTCCCAGAATTCCAAAGCCAGAATGGCTGGCTGGAGAATTCTGGGAATTGAAGTGCACAGGGAGTTAAGTCCACAGTCCACAAGATTGGACAACCCCGGCATTAAAATATGATTCCCATTAAAGAAGCAGGCTTATCCCAGAGAGGTTTAGCTAACAGTTGTACCTAATAAGCAGAGATGATGTTACAAAGTTAGGGTAATGAAACATCTGCAAGAAAACAAGCAAGCTCAGAGAGCACCAAGGATCCCTGAAATGAACCCTGAGCTAATGATATCCGCCTGTATCGAACCTAATCTGCCCAAAATTCATCCTAGTGTTTTAAATTGTTCTTACTCTATTTCAGGGTTATCAAACTCGCGATGACATGTTGTCGTCTCGTGACGTATCACAACTCCCCCTCTTCACTAAAAGGGGGGGTGGGCGTGGCCAGCACGTGACATATCCAGCCCACAGGCCACGAATTTGACACCCCTGTTCTATTCGATGAAAAATAAGTTTGAGGTTGCCACCAGCATACTCTGAGGGGGTAGTATGAATGACCTTCTTATTTTGTAAGAAGGGAAACAGTTAGTGTTTGTGAAGAGTCTGTTATTCGTTCAAACTTTTTTTCTAGGGCCATTCTAGCTTCCCAAACTTCCATTCAATCCCAAGAGAAGCCATTAGACTGGAGTTCCCACTCAAGACCGCAGTGCTGGGAGAGGCATCTGTGAGATTCGGTACTTTCATCAATCTGGAGCAAATCAGCCCGAAAACGGGAGTTCCATCTTTTTTATAACATACATCCAATGCCACAAGGCAACAACAAAAGAAGTAGAACTTCCATTTGATGACAAGTGTAACATTGTGAGGTCCTTGCTGCTCCCTGAGCTTGTTTTCTTGCAGGCGTTTCATTACCCAACTAGGTAACATCATCTGTAAAAAAGAGCGGTGGTCAGAAATGGCCACCACAAAGAAGAACTCGACCAGAAAAGAGCACCAAGGACCTCACAGTTCAACCCTGAGCTACAGATATTCCCTTCTATTGGTTGTATTGCTTTTATCCTACCTTCCCTCTCTCCTTTGGACATCTCAATTAAATTAGTGTTTCAAGCACCAGGATAGAGAGTGGGAGTCTAGACCCACATTACCCATGAAAGCCAGCTGCTTTCATGGATAACACGGGACTAGAACTCCCACTTTCTAGCCAGGTGCTTGAAACACTAAACTGGCTGTCTAATTTAATTGAGATGTCCAAGGAGACCTTGGTAAGTCACTATCTCTCATCCCAACTCACCATGGTTACTTTTTGTGGGGAAAACTGGAGAAAGAAGGAGTGTTAAGTATGTGAGATCGAATTTGGATCGGTCACCGGGACTAGAGATTTACTCTTCCGAGCTTTCGGATTCATGCTGGAGCCCATCTTCAGGGAACGTCTCTCCATTGGAGTATGTGCTTTGCGCTGTTCTGTAAGTTGTAATTATGTGGTGCCTTCCTATTGGCTGCTTGGTGTTGTTGAGGGGTGGCGATTGGCTGTCGTTTCCTTGTGCTGCCATGCCCTTGGCTCCTAAAGAGAAGTTCCCTGAAGATGCGCTCCAACATGAGTCCAAAACTTGGAAGAGTAAATTTCTGGTCCCAGGGACTGACCCAAATTTGATTTCCCATCATTATCCTGGGATATGTATCATTGGTGAGTGTTAAGTATTGTTTGCTACCTTGAGTTGAGCCGGGGGTTGGACTCGAAGATCTCCAAGTTCTCTTCCAACTCTATTATTCTATTGTGTTCTGAGTTATTGGTAAGAATAATAAAAGTGGGATATAAATTAATTGTGATGACCTGGGGGTGTGACACAAAAATAACACAGTTACAAAAGTAGAATAAATTCCCTTTAATGTCTTTAACTTGAACCTCAGTGTCCAATTATCCTTGACTTGATATCAAACTCTTCCAAAAAACAGTCTATGAAGAAAGTAAATGCAGTCTGAACCAAAAGTAAAAATAATTAGAAATAAAAAAAAACCAGCACAAACCACACTGGAGTCATTAAGAGCCTCTGTGGCATAGTGGTTAGAGTGCAGTACTGTGCAAGCTACTTCTGCAGCCAACTGCCTACAGTTTGGCAGTTCAAATCCCACCAGGCTCAAGGTTGACTCAGCCTTCCATCCTTCTGAGGTGGGTAAAGTGAGGATTGTTGGGGGCAATAGGCTGACTCTGTAAACTGCTTAGAGAGGGCTGTAAAGCACTATAAAGTGGTATATAAGTCTAAGTGCTATTGCTATTAACACGGCAGGCCAGGATGATAAATTGCAGACTTCCAGAAGCTAATGCAGCAACCACAGTTGGGAAGACGCCAAAATCCAGATAAGCCTCGACCAAGATAAAGCACGCTTTGCTTCCAGCAAAGAACTATTTAAAATGGCCCACTTATATCCTGTTCTCCCAACTGCAACTAATGAAAGGGATCAGGGCCTTTTCCTCTCCCATAAGACACATTGCTCCCTTCTCCGTTCCTCCCTGCATGCCCTAGGATGAAGAGTAGATGGCCCTGGGCCTTCCTCTGAGTGCCCAGCTGGACTGTGTTCTTCCCCTGTTTCTTCCACAGCCACCGGAGCCACACTCCCACTCCCTGTCAGCTCCTCAATCTCCCCCTCAGAGTCAGACTCCAACAAGGGCATGACATTAATTAAATAAATAAAAATAAATTTTTGTTGGCATTTCCCTACTTTTGGGGAGTAACCTTCCCTTCCATTACAGGCTATTAAACCACCAAAGGTAACGCTGGTCTACAAAAGATTGTTTATCTATTATCAAAATGGGCAGTCACAATGAATAAAATACATATAGTCACAATTAAGAAGAGAGGAGAAAGTTATCCGTTTAGCACTTTAATGAGATCTCATTTCGTTGTATCTCCCTGAACCTCTGCAGTAATGGAATTCTGTTGCGTTTCAATATTTACACTTGGGGAAAAAAAAAACCACAGGCTTACAATAAAAGGAAAGGGTATGCAAAAATATGTAGATAAAAGTAATTCATTTAAAGTGATGCATCTTAGGAACAAATATGCATGAAGGTGCGTACAAGCCCAATTATAAATCAATAGTTGGTGTCAACAGATGGTTTGAAAAATGTCTATTAGGGAAGGATAAGCAACATCAAGACGATCTTGATTAACCTTGAGAAGCTAAGATACTTGGAACGTGATTTGACTTCAATGGCAACTCACCTGGAAATATCTAAGTGAAAAGTTAGGCCAGGTAGTTGGGGCGGGGGGGAAACTGTGGTACCCTGTTGCCATATTGCTTTCAAGGCAACAACATTCAGATTTAAAACGTTTAACAGAGTTGGAAGGGACCTTGTAGGTTTTCTAGTCCAACCCGCCACCCAAGCAAGAGACCTTACACCATTTCTGACAAATGGCAGTCCAATCTCTTCTTGAAAGCTTCCAGTGATGGAAGCTCCAACAACTTCCAAAGGCAATTTCTATTCCATTGGTTGACTGTTCTCACTGTCAGAAAGTTTCTCCTTATTTCCAGGTTGAATCTCTCCTTGATCAGTTTCCATCCATTATTCCTTGCCTGGCCTTCAGGTGCCTTGGAAAATAGCTTGACCCCTTCCTCTCTGTGGCAGCCCCTCAAATACTGGAATACTGCTATCATGTCTCCCCTGGTCCTTCTCTTCACTGTACTAGCCAAGCCCAGTTCCTGCAACCGTTCTTCATAATCACCGTCCCCTAATCACCCTGGTTGCTCTTCTCTGTCCTTTTTCTAGAGTCTCAACATCTTTTTTATAGTGCGGTGATCAAAACTGGATGCAGCAGTTCTAGGTGTGGTCTTAGTAAGGCTTTATAGAGTGGTTTTAGTACCTCACTTGATCTTGATTGTATCCCCGACTTACAACAGTTCATTTAGTGACCATTCAAAGTTACAGCGGCACTGAGAAAAGTGACTTATGACCGCCTTTCACAGCCTTGACCTTTGTAGTGTCCCAGTGATCACGTTATCAAAATTCAGACACTTGGCAATTTGTTCATATTTACGACACTTGCTGCATCCCGAAGTCATGCCATCCCGTTTTGTGACCTTCTGAGCTGCAAAGTTAAGGGGGAAGCCGTATTCCCTTCACAACCACGTTACTAACTCATCAACTGAAGTGATTCGCTTAACAATGGAGGCAAGCAAGGTTGTAAAATGTGGCAAAACTCACTTAACAAATGCCTCGCTTAACCACAGAAATGCCGGGCTTGATTGCGGTTGTACGTCGAGGACTACCATGTGTTCGCACACTCACTAGGAACGTTGGGCTCAAATGAAATGAGATGCATTCTTCTAAAAGTCTAACATTGGGGGGGTCGGTTCCCTGCCAATGTTGTTTGATTTTGTTTTGTTTGTTTGATCTTGAAAGCTAAGAAAGATTGGGCCTCATTGGTACACAGTTGAGAGACTTCTAGGAATTCCCAGGGCTCCAGACCACGTTTGGAAATGGAAAGCAAAACAAAACTATTGGTAGAAGGCAGTGGTAAACCCTTTTCATATTATTGCCAAGAAAACTGTGTAAATATGTCCATAACTGGGACACATGAGGATTAGGATCTAAGTTGTAAAGCAAAACAATTCAAAATATTGCATCACCTTCCCTACTCCCAGCCAATCCTTCCGTTTATTTGAACTTGGCAGTGTCTCTTGGTGCTAATTTTGGTAGAGCTTGTCAAAGAACAGTGTTTAATTGATCACAAAGTGCCCTTTGTATGCGCTTAAATAGCTTGCTTTGTTTCAACAGTGAATTACAGCTATGGCAATAAGGGGTTATGATTACAAATTAGCTGCTGAAATGTTTGTCAGGAGCAATGTTTTGCTCAAATGAGCCAAGACAGGGACATGAAATTGACAAGCCAGTTTGTAATGCATCCCACCTTGTCTGGCAAGGGTCCATTAAACCAGAGTTTAGCAATCTTGGCAACTCTTTAACTCTGCGGACTTCAACTCCTACTATTCAGGCTGGGAAATTCTGGGTGTTGAAATCCATATGCGTTAGAGTTGCCAAGGTTGAGAAACACTGCATTAAACAAATGAATCCTGAACTAAATTATTGGCTTTTCATCAGGAACGATTGGTAATTTTGATTTTGGAGAGACCAGTCTAGTTGACTATGGTAAGACAAGAGGAGGACAAGGTTGAAGGAACAGATTTTTTGCAGTTTGAATCACTTCTTGCATCTCGTCTCTTGCCTTTACTTTCCAGAAAACTAGGGAGGGTTCCTTCGGAGATGCTTTCTCTGTCCCCATTCCTTCTGTGGGTTGAGAGATCTCTTCTCTAATTCTTCTCTAGGCTGTGGCTCTTTCTCCTGCTTCTGAAAGTTATTTTCACAGCCCACATCTCCATAATCATTACAGAACCTCATTTCAGTTCTGAATCTCCCACACTTCGAATGTTGGGCTGCTTTCTTCCCTTTGTCTGAGGAGTCAAAGGAGATAAATAAGTGCCTTGAGCTGCCATTTAACTTCAACAGTGCCAAAAGAAATGAAATATTTGGGAGCTAGATATAACAATGTCATAATGACATCCATGCCCACATCCACATGTCAGAAACTTCTCAAAGGGTCTCTAAAGCTTTGGTGTTGAAGAGATGTTCATGAACTCAATGTGTTAAGTTTGGAGAATAAGGAGACCAGACATCTGACCAGTGACTTCAACTCTTTAATAATAACAGGAATCAGAATGGAACAGAGCAATACTATGGGCAGCAGTACCCCTTTTATAGGGTTAGCTGCTGCCTTATTAACCAATGAAAATGTGCAACAGGTTTCAACTACTGACCAATAGGGACAGTCCCAAAAGTGGCCAATCAGGGACTGGTTCAGGCCCAATCCCAAGTTGTTGTATAAGGACCAATCAAGTGTGCAGGTTTTCAACCCCTTATTTGCATTTAGGTTATTCACTTTTATTGATTCACAACACAATGTGACAAGGATTTCAACAGGGCCTGGTCTGAACCAGGTTTCAGAGGAAGAATCTTTTTACAACATTGACCAAATGCCCATTGTTTTTACAATGTGTGTAAAAGTTACACACATTGGCTAAATGGTTTCAGGAATTGGGTATGTCTACTCTATTGAAAAGAAGAACATGACAGCAGTGTTCCAATATTTGAGGGACTGCCACAAAGAAAAGGGGGTCAACCTATTCTCCAAAACACCTGAAGGTAGAACCAGAAGCAATGGATGGAGACTAATCAACGTGAGAAGCAACCTTGAACTCAGGAGAAATTTCCTGACAGTGAGAACAATTAACCAGTGGAATGGCTCCCCTTCAGAAGTTGTGGGTGCTCCATCACTGGAGGCTTTTAAGAAGAGACTGGACAACTACTTGTCTGGAATGGTATAGATTCTCCTGCTTGAGCGAGAGGTTGGACTAGAAGTCTTCCAAGGTCCCTTTCAACCAGTGGTGGGTTTCAAAGAGGTTTACCACCAGTTCAGTGGGTGTGGGTTGGTGGGCACACTGTGCACGCACACACACACTTTGCACGCATGCGTGCCAAACACACACTTTGTACATGTGCAGAGGCTTTTCTACTCACCTCCTGCAATTCCTGTAGTTTCAACAGCTGATGCGCGGCAATCTGCTGTGTCACACAAAGCAGCTGCGCTTCAAAAGCAGGGAATAAAGGTCAGTATGGAATCCCGGGCGGGTTGGTGGGCCTGACAGCAGCTCATCAGAGAGAACCGGTTTGGTCTCGGCTGATCTTCGGTGCTACTGGTAGAACTGGGCCGAACCGGTAGAATAGCACCATTGCTTTCAACTCTGTTATTCTGTTTTTCAGTTATTCCTTGAAAAGTTCAAGTCACTGTTCACTCTGAGAGCAGTACTTAGGGAAGTAAAGCTTTATGGAGGTTAGTCTCTGGATCCCCAACTGTATTGCTTTTGTGGCTGAAAAGGTAACTGTGGATCTTCTGTGCCACTAGGAAAACATTAAAGAGATAAGGATGTGCTGTGTTTCAATTTCAGTCCTCAAAAGATGCTTTGGAGTGTGTGAGAGTATAAACATAACAACTGTGTGTGGTTGTGCATGAGCCCAGGAAAAATGTAGCTCCAGGGAGGTGGTAAGTTCTTATATCTGTATCATCTCAAACATCTTTTAGAATTTTAATTTGAAGTGTTACATAGATTTATCAGGAGAGATACATCTTTTCTTGGATGCAGGGTTTGAATGCATTATCTGTCTTTTGTACAGGGTGTTTCTAATAAAATGCTTCTGTCGTGATTAAAAGCATCCCCCTCAGAATCTATGTTTTCATCAAGGGGAGAAACTAGAGTGTTCTAATCCATCAAATTTAATCATTTCCTCATTTTCCCAGCCCACCCTTGAAATGTAATCATTTCCTTTTTTTGTGTGTCAGGTTTTTTTTTAAAAAAATCATCATGAAAATTCATCTATATGAATTTTCACATACACGTAACCATATGCATACATCAGTGTGTTTTTTCTCATAAATTATGTTTGTGCCTTTTTTGTTTGAAACAATGTAGTTTCTTATCTTCAATGCACCCCAAGAGGATTCGCATTGTAAAATGTCTTCATCTTCAGAAAAACACATGAAGAGATAAATATTTTGGGTTTCTATAATACTGCAGGAAATTTTCATTGAAATTTTGAACTGAACAAAAGTTATTCCCATCTAATAGAGCTTGCACAGTTGTGGTAGAAGCATTGAAGCACTGTTTTTCTTTGATATTTATTTATCTATTTATCTATCTATTTATTTATTTATTGATTGATTGATTGATTGATTGATTTGATTTGATTTGTCAATTGCTTACAAGATAATAGGTATAAGAATAAACGTGAGTATAAATACAGGAAATAGGTACAAATAAATGGGGACAATAGGACAGGGACTGTCTTTTTTCTGGCCTTTTTCCCTGAAATTTTAAACTTTTCCCTGAAGTTCCTAGGCAATAATCTAAACATCAGAAGCCAGACTTTAAGATCTCGGCAACTTTAAATTAACGAGTATGGGCATGTCATTTTGTCAGCTCACTTAATTTCCTTCCTTTACTTCCTCAGGTCTAAATTATATTACAGGGGTGAGTCCAGAATCCCTAATTGCGGAGAGGAGGGGAATTTCTTTCCATTCACCTCCAAGTGGCAATATAAACAATTTCCTGATAAAAGCAAATTGAGAGTTGGGTTGGAGAGATGGGTCCTTTGAAAATTACGATAGAGGAAGAAATTAATATCCCAACAACAAAAAAATGACAAATGATAGGCAGGCAGGGGCAGGTGAACATTCATTAAGCATTATGTCTTTATGAATCTTTAGCCTGGGGGGTAAAAAAAAGTGAATAATCTAAGATTTCAGTGGAATGCCAGGGAACTCCAAGTTTGAATGGAAATAGATGTCTGAGAAAGCTTGTTTAATTCAGAGAACCAGAAATAATTTACACCTAATTAGATTTTGTCAACTAAATAATTACATCTCATGTTGCCTTCCATGGAATAATGTAAGCGGTTTTGTCTTGATTCTCAAAGTAGCTGTAAAATGTCACATTAATTTTGTTGACACCACAAGTCTGGGAAAGTGGCTTGGCGAGGTAATTTGTCAGCTGAATATATTACAGTTGGCAAGGAAGCCTGAAAAGTGGTGCACAAGGATAATCCTTCCTCTCTAGGATGTGATTTCTCTAGGATAATGCTTCCTCTCTAAGATCTGATTTCTATCATATAAAACAGTGGCTTTCCTGCTTGTCCAGTTGGAGAAGTATGGACTTCAACTCCCAGAATTCCTCAGCCAGCATGTTGTTGAACGAGGATTGTCAAACTGGGAAAACACGGATACAAAATATAATCCCTTCTGGGGGCATCCGAAGAAAGAAAAATGCAGTGTTTCAGTGGTCATTTTATCTGATTACTTCATAAAGTTGGATCAAATGATCTTTCAGAATTCTCACCCCAAAACTAAAAATAAGTTTTCGGTTGAATTGTAAGCACTGAAAAATTAATTCTTCCTTATGGTGGTCCAAACCCCAGATTTTCTGTTTTGTCCTAAGTCTGCCCATATCTCTAGGTGATCCATCAGTCATTCTGTAACTTTCATAAAACCCTCAAAGTTGCTTCTTGCTATTTATTTATTTTATTCACTGTGGATGCTGCCCAACTCCAACCAATTCTGTAACCTTTAGACTATGTCAAGCTGTTCTCCAAAGCACCCGAAGGCAGGAGAAGAAGCAATGGGTGGAAATTAATCAAGGAGAGAAGCAACTTAGTACTAAGGAGAACTTTCCTGACTATTAGAACAATTAATCGGTGGAACAACTTGCCTGCAGAAGCTGTAAATGGTCCAACAGCGGAAGCTTTTAAGAAGAGATTGAACAGCCATTTGTGTGAAGTGGTGTAGGGTTTCCTGCCTAAGCAGGGGGTTGGACTAGAAGACCTCCACAGTCCCTTCCAACTTATTCTATTCTATTCTATTCTATTCTATTCTATTCTATTCTATTCTATTCTATTCTATTCTATTCTATTCTATTCT